AATATTAAGTTTCCAGCAAATCCCGACGGCGTTCGCTGCAGTGACATGGCCACGTGCTCATTGCCCAGACACGAACAAGTTCGCCGACCGTTTGAGCATGATGGCGATGCATCTGTCCGACGTTTGATGGGGTCGTACGTTAAGGGGGTTGCAACGACTTGGCACTAGCATAAATGGCATGGAAAACAATATCTTGTGGCACACCGTGGGTGGGGACTTTTGCCAAGCCATCGGATGTGCTCCACATCGCTCGATCGCGAAGACTCGCACAGCGATCGAGGCAATCTCCTCGATTCCATGTCATGGATCGTCTGTCTCGAGGATGTGGAATGTGTCTCTCTCGGCATGGCTACCGCCATGGTGCTTCTCTTTCAAACGCCAACAGATCGCAAAACAAACGCGGCGCACGTGGTGGCGATGCCATTTTTGGTGGTTTGTTTTATTCCTTCAAAAGTGACATTTTGAAATATTTGGTGCGATTGACACACAGTTACATTCCTAAAATGCGAAAAAGTGACGAATTTCATTGATGTCACTTCAAATTGATACAATACCTTGGATTCATCAACAATCCGCTCCCGTCGCAATGGTGGCGCACAAGGTCCAGTATGACCACAACATGTCGGACCAGCCCCTCCGCGTCTGCCTCGTGGGCTCTGGCAACTGGGCATGCGCGATCGCGCGGATCATCGGCGAGAACACCGTCTTGAACGACTCCGTGTTTGAGCCCAAGATCAACATGTGGGTGTTCGAGGAGCTCGTCCGTGGCCGCAAATTGACCGATATCATCAATCAAGAGCACGAGAACATCAAGTATCTCCCTGGGTACAAGCTCCCTTCGAATGTCGTGGCCATTGCTGACCTAAAGGAAGCCGCTCGTGGTGCAGACATTCTCGTGTTTTGCCTCCCACATCAGTTCTTGCCACGTCTGCTGCCTGACGTCCGCGCCATACTGAAGCCCGGCGCGTTTGCTGTGTCGCTCATCAAAGGCATCGATTTCAACGAAAACGGAGGGATTGTCCTCGTGTCCGACATCATCCGCGACGGCCTTGGAATCGATTGTAGTGTGCTCATGGGGGCGAACGTAGCCAACGAAGTCGCGGCCGGCGACTTTTGCGAGTCCACATTGGGCACGCTTCATCTTCATCACGGCGACATCCTTCGCCAACTCTTCCACGCGCCGACATTCCATGTCAATATTGTCCTGGACCCGCACGGCGTCGAGCTGTGCGGCGCCCTGAAAAACGTGGTGGCGCTCGGCGCGGGCTTTTGCGACGGCCTCGGGTACGGCGGCAACACCAAGGCAGCAATCATTCGGCTCGGGCTGATTGAGATGAAGAAGTTTTGCTACCGCTTCTTCGACGGCATCAAGGAAGACACGTTCTTTGAGAGCTGCGGCGTCGCGGACTTGATCACGACGTGCTTTGGGGGGCGGAACCGCAAGTGCGCCGAGCTGTTTGTGAAAGACAAGGGTGTGACGTGGGAAGAGATGGAGGCGACGGTGCTGAATGGCCAGAAGCTCCAAGGCACGGGCACCGCCAAGGAAGTGTACCATATCATCGAAAGGACCAACGCGTTGCACGAGTTTCCGCTCTTCACCGCGATCTATCGCATCGCATTCGAGCGTGAGGACCCGAAAAACATTGCAAAGCTTTGAGGCAGGGGCACTCAAATAGAGTAACACCGTGATTCTCGGCCTCGCACTCATGTGTGACCTCGCCGCAGCCACAACGTACATAGATGAAGCGGTAGGTGGAGGGCGAGGCAGACAGCTGGCTAGCTGGCTACGGTGGACAGCACTACATTGCGAAGGGCGTTCTCGCTCCCATGCGGCGTCGACTTCGCGTCATGCCCGAGCGTGTCAACATCGGGTCGTTACGACTGTATGCCGAAAGGTTGCGCGATAAGATTGGTTGAAATAGTTGGGATTTCGGTGGATTTCATCCTGAAAAACAATATGATTGGTTTAAAAACAGCCAACCCACGTTGGACCCGGCGATCCCACACGCGCCGCTTCGTAAAAGCAAAACGCCTGGCGGCCCGTTGAGACGGTGAAAAAAGGTACTTGGCTTTTTCCAGGGTCACGTAGCCTTTGTGCAGTCGGTCGCTTCGAAGAGTCGCCATCGCCTTATACGCTTCCTGCAAGCTGTCCTCCGCATATCGCCGCTACCATGAGCAAGAAGCGCGGCGGCAAATCGTCCGACAAAACTTCCAAGAAAGGCAGCACCGGCATGCCCGCGACTTCTCATATTCAAATCACCACGACCGATTCGTTGAAAAAGCCATCCTCAAAATCGACCACGAAGACCGCCGCCACGTCGTTTGCGGTCGGCCAGATCGTGGACATCCAACAAGAGTCCCGTGGCAAATGGAAACGCGGGAAAATCGTTTCCATCCGACCCATTGCCCCGACCACGTCCCGAAAGAAGCAACCACACGTGCTGTACGACGTGTCCTACGATGGTGGCCAAATGGAGCTCGAAATCGACGCCGACCGCATCCGCTGCCGCAAACAACCCGATGCGAACCCGTTCTCCTTACGCCCTCCAGCGACCGCTGACATTTTGGAATTCACCAAGATAGCCGAGGCGAGACAACTCTCTAAGCCGCGTTCACCTGCGGGTGCCATTCCTGCAAACGACGAAGGGGTTCACCTGACCACCGCCGACCCTTCGAATCTGCTAACCAAACGACACAACTTTGGCGAGTACGACAACGACCAAGTGGCCACTGGAGACGTGTTCAAGTCCGAAGATCAAGTACTAGAACACCAAGCTCAGATCCAGCGCATTCTGGACGACCTCTTTTCGATCCACGCGGATGTTCACAGTGTGGTACGAATATTCCTGCCTCCAATGTTGGTGCGCCAACTCGAGCATGTTTGTGAGTAGAAGAAAGCCCTGAGCGCGCTCTTAAAGGTCCTGCGCCTTGCTCCTCAAGTCACAGCCGACTACTTTCATTTCAAGGCGGGCGAGACAATCCTGCTGCACATCATTCGATCGCACCAGTTGTATTCTGTCCTGCAGTGCTACGGGTTTGTCCTGTTGCGCAAGATGTGCCATCTTTCCGTTGACAGCTGCGCAATATTTGTTCAAAATGGCGCCATTCCGGCCATCGCCACCGCCCTTCGTGCATTTCCGTCCGATCCTATCGTTCAGGTTCCATGCAACACCTTTCGTCCGTTCGTTCACGAGGCACCTAGGCGTCGGGGTGCGGGGCCCTCTCAGCCCTCGGACAGCTCAGTGTCCAAGCCATTCAAGCCATGCTCGAGCACAACGTAGTGCCGTTGGTCGTGGCGTCGCTGGTCCATCACCAGGACATCAATAACCACACACGGCAAGTTCAGTTCTACGCGAGCGAAGGTACGCCCATCGTTCTGGCGCAACTCAACCGTGATATGTGTTAGTTCTGTTGGCATTGTGTGACAACAGCGGTGCCCCCGTCGCTGCCGCGATAGTCGACCCAATCGACGACTACACTGCTGTCCGCACGTTGGTTCTCGTCATGCGAAAGAGCTTGAAGCTGGATGATAAGAAAGTGTCGTGCTCTATTTGCACGCTACTCTTGTGGTACGCACCACACTGCGCATGCGGAATTCGAAGTGACCGCGTTGTAGTTTGCTTTCCTTGAGCAAGTCCATCGCTCAAGTGCTTCGCCAAGCGGACGCCATCGCCGACCTTTCGATTGCAATGGCAAAATACCCGACGCACGAAGGCATCCTCAAGTACTCGCTCCCGGCAACGCGCGAGCTGGCGGTTGCGTCCATGCAGCAGTCGCCGTCCACAAAAGTGCGCCAAACGGCACGAATCATTCTCGAAGAAGAGCCGTTGAAGCGGTCGAAACCTGCGAGTCCAGCGTCCGCGCGCAAGAAACCCAAAACTGTGACGCCCTCAACCAAACCATGGTCCTCGACTGTCCTTCCATCTCCGTCGCATGCTTCGTCCAAGAAGGAGTCGTCGGTGGCCACCCGAGAAAAGCTACTGCTTCAAACGTATGGGATGGATCCATCCCGTAGCAGTGCCACCAATCCAGCGAGATCGTCGAAATCGCGGCAAAGCACGAGCCCTTCCCGAAAGAATCAACTCGACAAACAATTCGATTTGTTCTTGGCTACGTCAAGTGGCGATCCCATGCCGGAGCTGCCACGTCCGCTCACGTGCTCCAAGTTGCTGCCACTGGCAACCCCTGACCCTCCAGCTGTCCGGCCCGTAACGATGGCCACAACTCAATCGGCCAAAATCGACCGATTGGACGTTCCTGTGCCGGCCAGCCCCCTGGCAGAACTCAAGTCGTTTGCGACAGAACTCTTTGAAGGCGTGAACGACCCCATGACACCGCTGAATCGGGTCAGCTTCGCCGACAAACTCCACCGCATGATTGAAAAAGCCGAAACCTCGTTGGACTCGATCTACTTGGCGCCTCCAGCGACCGCACCAGAAGCGATGCCCCCTCCAGCCCGTTTCGAATCGCCGCCTGGCATCGACACGAAAACCCCGTCCGTCAACCTCCAAAATGGCATTTTCACCCCGTTGAGCCAGAAGCTGCACCTCACCGTCGGGACAAAGGTCAAGTGCCGGTTCAATGGCGGGATTCGATACTATGCTGGAGTCATCTCGCGGTGCAACGAGTCCAACCAAACATTTGATGTGGATTACGTTGATGGCGAGCAAGAATGCGACGTGCCGTTGGAATTCATTCGCGTCATGGACGCAGTGGCACCACAGCAAGCGCCGCCGTCGCCAGCCGCGTTTGCCAATGGCGACGTAGTCGAAGCGCGGTACAAGGGCAAGGCCAAATATTTCCCTGGCGTGATCCTTCGTGTGGGTGCGGCAAACCAGTCATTCGATATAGCTTATGACGACGGAGAAATCGAATTGGACGTCGCTCGAAACTTGATCAAACTCGTGGGTCGAAACGAGCCGCAAGACAAGGAGGGAACAGGGTGGCGAGTCGGTCAAAAGGTTGAAGCTCGGTACAAGCAGCGGCAAAAGTACTACAAGGGCAAGATTGCTCGCGCGCGGTCGAATGGCACGTACGACATCGAGTACGACGACGGCGAGAAAGAGATCGGTGTTGCTAAGGACATGATTCGTGTCTTGGTCGAGCTGGAAGAGCGTCCGCAGTTCGAAGAAGGCGACTTGGTCCAAGCGCAGTACGAAGGCAACGCTCGGTTTTACAACGGGACGATCGTGCGGTGCCGTCTCGATGGGTCGTACGACATCAAGTACGACGATGGCGATGTGGAAACGTTTGTCGCCTCCGAACGCATCCGAAAGAGGTCGCCGCCCCCCTTTCAATATGCAGTCGGCACCCGCGTCGAGATCGTGAAGGGGTCGCGATGCCTGGTCGGAACGATTACCAAAGTCAGCGCCCGCACGGGACATTACTCAGTCTTGTACGACCACGGGGACAAGGAAAAAGTTGCCCCGGACAACATTCGAGGCATCATCCACGAGGAAACGTTCGAGCGGCACCAACGCATCGAAGCGCGCCCCCCGACGTCTCAAGTTTACTCGCTCGGGTTGATTACCAAATGCCGGTTCAATGGAACCTACGACATTGAGTTTGAGTCGGGGGAAGTGGCGACTGGCGTGGCTCCGTCGCTCATCCGATCGCTGCCGTGGCCACCCAAAGAAACCGAGTATTCCCCCCTGTGGCACGTGGGTGACATTGTCGAAGCCAAGTACGAGGGCAAGTTGAAATACTTTCCAGGTGTTGTGGCGCGGGTCGAAGTGCAAGGGCCATCGTCTGCCGTGTACGAAGTCCACTTTGAAAGCGGATCGGTCGAGCCCCGCATCCCAGAAGACTCGATCCACTTGTTGCATCGATCCATGCCAGGCATACCTGTGTTTGCCTCGGGAGAGGTTGTGTTGAAACACGGCAAACTTGCCAAGGTTTGCCGGTGCTATATGGATGGTACCTACGACTTGACCTACCCCAACGGATTGAAAGAAGTCCGCGTTGCGAAGGCGGACATAGCCAAAGCACCAAAGGACACCGCGGAAAACTTCGCCGCAGAACCGATGGGATCGGCCAAGGACAACGACGAACGTGTGCCGTCTTGGTTTGACGCACCATGCAAGCACAACGAAACTATCGCGGCAGCGCTAGTTGCAGCAGCAAGCTCCTCGGGTGAGAGGTCGACCACTGCTGATGCCAGCTCGAGGCAATCTGAAATCAAAAGCCATGGCCCTCAGGAAGACGAGTGTGGTCAGGTCAATGATGGCACAACACAATGGCGGCAAACCGACCGTGAGGCGACAGGCGTCGCGCGCGAGCATGCCAAGTATGACAAAGTTGAAGTGGCCAACACTGTAGAAGACGCGGTGGAATCACGAACAGCAGATGCCGTCGCAGGTGAAGCTGCTGTTGCCTCCACATCAAACGATGACACCATCGAGGCGGAACCGATCGAAAACCAACAGAGTGATGGAATATACCCACAAGATTCAACCCACCACGGCAAGGAGTCCAGGGAAAAAGCTATGAATGACCAAGCCACGGCCATTGCAAGCGTCTGCAGCTCCGCCGTTTGTGAACCGGCGACTTTTCACAGAGACAGCAAGACTGTCTTTTTTGAAAACCACGTGACTGAACCAAGTGACGACATTTCCATTGAACGCGATGAACCTGAGAAAGGCAGCCATGACAAGCCCGAGACAAAACACGATGCGAATGACGAAGCGAGGATACATTTAGAAGACGCGGCCGAGGCAAACTTGGCGCCAACGAGCCTTGTTGATGCGAACCCGCTAGACTTTTCAGCAGACGAGAAACCATGCCATGTTGCAGCAACTCTGCCTGGTGAAGATCCATTTGCACGAGCGCTCGTGATTCTGTCTGTGGCTGAATCTACGGTCGACACTGTTGTCCAAGCAGCCGTCCAGGTTGTGCAAGCGAAGTCCGTTGTCTCACAACGGCAACATGTCTTGTTCGCACTCGAACTGAAAGTGGCAAAAGCCACAGGCACCGTTCCGACCGATGTCGCCGAGCAAAGCGCAGATGTGACCAGCCACGAAGTTGACCCTGGTGTTCTTGAGCATGTGGACGCTAGAGTGTCCAGCAACAATTCTGTAGAGGTCGCAACACCACCGAGTGATACCGAAGTCCTTGCTGTGGCGACTGAAGCTACGGTCGACGTTGAAAATGTTGGTGGCGCAGATGAGTCGACAATGCGACATTCAAACCTTCAGCTCGTCAAGTCATTGTCGTCGTCGACAGCGGCAAATTTAGTGAAAAACTCCATTCGCACAGGAGTGCAACAAGCAGCCTCTCGAAAGGACCTGACCGCTATTAGCCCGACCGAGCCCAAGGAAGCCAATCTTGCCGTGGCTAGGGATACATCCGATGATACTGTCGACATTTTGGTGCAAGCGAACGCCAACATGCAAGACCTGGTCGTTGACGACACGACTTTGTCCGCCATTTGTGTCCCTGCACTGAAAGTCGTGCCAGAGCACTTCGTTTCAAAATTGGTCCCGACGCCAATGCACTCTAGCGTCGCTGCTCAGGTGGTGAACAAGGCGATTCAAGATGCATTGCAAGCAGCGGTGGCGTCGTCACACAAGGTGCCCAAACACGTTCAAGAGCAAACCATTGTCCCAACACCAAGGGATTCCCTGTCGTCCACTCCAACACCCCAACGTGACGATGTCTATATCGTGCCGCAACCCTCTCACGAAGTTGTCCCACCCTTGCGGGTATCCTCGATACGACCGTTGTCTCTGATGGCAAGCACCATTGAATTGGCTGCACAAGTCGTCGATACTGCCGTTGCCAATGCCCTCGCCGCTCATGCATCGCTGCCATACCTGACATCTGGTATATATCCGGCACTTTCCATTCGCAACGAGGTACAGCCCGAGCCAGCAGACTCATCCGAGTCTTTCCCATCTGCACCGAAGCATTTGACGGCTCAAGAGGTGGACATCACAGCAATCGCTGCCGCTTCAAATTTGGTGGATACTGGTCCTCAAGATGCTCTTTGTACCGAAGTGCACGACGAGATAGCAAGCAACACACCCTTTGGAAATGACGGAGATATTACCAACGACGACGACATCAGTGACGATATTTCGCTCGAAGTGGCCATGATAGCCAAGTCAATTGTCATGCTGTGTTTATACGATGGCATTCTGCACGTTGCAAATCGAGTTGTTGCTGACAAAACTGCGGAAGAACAGCCTTTGGATGAAGAACCGGCGACGGTACGCAACGACGGGGTGATTGACGGCCAACTGCACGCTTGTGTGGCGGCACCGTCCGAATCATCTCCAGCGATTCAACTCGACGGCGCCTCTTTTGACAGTGCAAGCCCCATCACAGTTGCCGAGACAAGGCCGACACCATCGTGTCACCACGACAACGTCAAACCGCTTGCAACGGCAGATGATCCAACCGTGGTGGATTCGGCTAGTGGTGATGCAAATGAAAATGCATCGTGCACCCAAGAGATCCATTCCTCCAAGTTCGATTTGATTTGCCCAGTCCCTGCGACAAGCAACCAAACATCTCAAGAAGCGATTGCTACTGTGAACCGTATTCTGTTCACTGTGGTCGAGAGGCTCGTGAACGAGAGTGAAGTTTTGGCCGAGCCAACGCTGTCGAAACCTCGACCGCATGTCGACAATCATAACCCTGCATGCGACCAACTTGCTGGTTTCCAGACGGATAAAACGAAAGGTGGCGCTGACAACCAGATCACATCAGCCAGCAAAAACGCACACGAAGAACCCTTTGCATACAGCATGATAGCCGAAGAATATGACGTTCCCACGAATCGACTTGACAGCATTATACCGTCTGCCAACAATCGCAACGATTCAAGGCAGATCGGCGACAATGAACAAGAACTACAGATTGACAATTCATCCACCCATACATCACATGGAAACCAAGGAAACCAGGATCTCAATGAAGCCAAGGCCGACCAAAGACACCACTCTTACCAGCGTCCTGACAATTTCACCCCCGAGAGCACGAATGACGTCGAATCATATGCGAACGACGTCGACGAGTTCGCAGACAAGGAGACGGCGCCCGAACCAGCCGCGACCGCCGAGGAAGCGCAACCTTCCCCTGCGGAGGACGACGGTGCTGCGTATGGCCAAGACGAAGAATTCGAGCAAACCGAAGCACCTGACGACAGCGCTGGTGCGGGCACGGCAGCACCCCCTACGGCAGACTCAGCGACGGTGGCGGAGGTCGTGACGTCAATCGGCGAGGCGCTTCTGGACCAATCGCCATCCGAAGCAGCTGCCGCCAGCGAGCTCCCTGCCGCCGCCACGACGGCAGGCGCGGACGCCGTCGAAGCATATGCGAACGACGTCGACGAGTTCGCAGACAAGGAGACGGCGCCCGAACCAGCCGCGACCGCCGAGGAGGCGCAACCTTCCCCTGCGGAGGACGACGGTGCTGCGTATGGCCAAGACGAAGAATTCGAGCAAACCGAAGCACCTGACGACAGCGCTGGTGCGGGCACGGCAGCACCCCCTACGGCAGACTCAGCGACGGTGGCGGAGGTCGTGACGTCAATCGGCGAGGCGCTTCTGGACCAATCGCCATCCGAAGCAGCTGCCGCCAGCGAGCTCCCTGCCGCCGCCACGACGGCAGGCGCGGACGCCGTCGAAGCATATGCGAACGACGTCGACGAGTTCGCAGACAAGGAGACGGCGCCCGAACCAGCCGCGACCGCCGAGGAAGCGCAACCTTCCCCTGCGGAGGACGACGGTGCTGCGTATGGCCAAGACGAAGAATTCGAGCAAACCGAAGCACCTGACGACAGCGCTGGTGCGGGCACGGCAGCACCCCCTACGGCAGACTCAGCGACGGTGGCGGAGGTCGTGACGTCAATCGGCGAGGCGCTTCTGGACCAATCGCCATCCGAAGCAGCTGCCGCCAGCGAGCTCCCTGCCGCCGCCACGACGGCAGGCGCGGACGCCGTCGAAGCATATGCGAACGACGTCGACGAGTTCGCAGACAAGGAGACGGCGCCCGAACCAGCCGCGACCGCCGAGGAAGCGCAACCTTCCCCTGCGGAGGACGACGGTGCTGCGTATGGCCAAGACGAAGAATTCGAGCAAACCGAAGCACCTGACGACAGCGCTGGTGCGGGCACGGCAGCACCCCCTACGGCAGACTCAGCGACGGTGGCGGAGGTCGTGACGTCAATCGGCGAGGCGCTTCTGGACCAATCGCCATCCGAAGCAGCTGCCGCCAGCGAGCTCCCTGCCGCCGCCACGACGGCAGGCGCGGACGCCGTCGAAGCATATGCGAACGACGTCGACGAGTTCGCAGACAAGGAGACGGCGCCCGAACCAGCCGCGACCGCCGAGGA